CCCTCCCCCATTCGCAACACTGACTAACTCCACCCCCTACCATCGCCACCACCACCACCACCTCCTCCTTCGTGTCCCCGTGAGCTCGAACTGGCAGGGTGCGCTCCGACTTCCTCTTTGGGTCCACCGACCAGCGGGGCTCAAACCAGTGCCAGATTCACCTCGTGCGGAGCCTGTAGCTTATGTTGTTATAAAGGGGCCCTAATTTTTTTTTTAAATAAACAAAATACATAAATATTAAAGCACAAATTTTGTACTTGCACAATAAAGTAATTGTACTTTTTCATTCGCTACGGAGCCAGATAATATGACAAATCGCTAACCTTAAACACCCAGTCGTTCGTAAAAGTTGAAGGCGGTATAGTACTATAGTAATAGAGCAAGTGCAGAATCACTGAACCGCAATTGATAGCTTGAAAGCATTTAGCGCGTGGGCCCTTGAAAGTGCGGGGCCCATAGTTACTACATGTGTAGCTACTAACTGTGTAGCTACTGTGTAGCTACTACACATGTGTAGCTACTACACATGTGTAGCTACTTGTGCTACCACGATAATAATCGGGCTCCGGGTCAAACGGAACCCAACCCGCAGCCTGCGTGGCGTGGGGCGAGGCGCTCGTCCAGCAGTGGATTTGGCGATCGAGCCTTGCGGCGCACGCTCACGCATAGTCGTAGTCGTCGTCGCAGCAGTAACAATGGCAACATCGCAAGCAGTTGGCGTCTGCTTAAAATGGAACGGGGGGGGGGGGCGGGGTAAGGAGGGGGCATCCGGGATGGGAGGGCAGCTGCTGAATTCTTGCGAACGAACGCCGTCGCAGAGCTGCCGCGTGACAAGTCAGAAATCCCTTTCCATCTCTCTCTCTCCAGCGAAGCCGTGTTATGTATGCAGGGCGCCGCGGTGGCTAGGAGATGTTACCTACCTCGCCTGGTATACAGGAGGTCGCGGGTACGATCGCGATCCCGTCCCTGACGCCTGCTGTAATATTTCGAGTTTGCATGTCCTCCGCGTGGTCGCGTGGATTTTTCTCCGCGTCCTCCGGGGTTTTCCCCTCCACATTTAGAAACACGCGTTCAGAGTGTTTTGGCTGCTATACATTTCCTCTGAAACAGATGTAGTCAATCCGCACACTCAAGCGCAGTGCTTGGAGCAAATCTACCTGGGGCGCCGTGGTGGTGAGATGTTGACTACCTTGCCTGGTATACATGGAGCTCGTGGGTTCGATCCCGACCCTGACGCCTGTTGTAATATTTCGAGTTTGCGTGTCTCTCTCTCTCTCCCTGTCGTAGCGTGGATTTCTTCCGGGTCCTCCGGTTTTCCCCTTCCACATTTATAAATATGCGTTTACAGTATTTTTTGGTTGCTATACATTTCCACGTGATAAGCCGCCTCGTTGAGCTATTATATTTATTTGTGGCCAGATCACTTCTGAAAAAGAGCTATGCAGCTCAGTGGGCCTAACCTGGTAAAATAAAATGTACAAAACATATATAGTTTAGTTTTCAATGAACATGACAGCTGTCATACTCAATTGCTCATTATTGACGTTTTAGTTCTTGAAGAATGCACCTAGCACGTGGAGCCAAACGTCGGACATCGTGCCGAACAACAACAACAACAACGCGACACACAAACCGAAAACACATCGAACTCTGCGAGCTTACAATAACTTTTGAAACAAACAAAAAAATGTAATTGATCGAATGCCGTCAAAGCACCACCGTCCTGAGACGCGGCAACATTTTCCCACGGGCGAATGGCTAAAACAGCAGCTGAGTGACAACGACAGGACCAGCCGTGCGTGATTCAGCCTCCCCCGCTGCGACTTGGTGACATCGGGCCACTAGCGACCGAGCGAGTGAGCCACTCGTTCGTGCTCGAGTGAGGCAGTGCTAGCGTCATTTTGACCAGGCTAAGAATAAACATTATTGGTGGGGGGGGGGGGGGGTGTAGTTTTTTTGGTGGTCGGGTGGGCTCTGTCTATTCAAGCCATTCCCCCTTGTAAGTTTTAACAACCGCTCCGTGCCTGACGATACAAAACGCTCCACCGTTATTCACCCTGGGGTTATTGCAGCTCTAGATTTTCAATGCGATATACCGTGGGCATTGTGAAGGTATCTCAACGTTAAAACGAACGAAACTATTTAAATACTCTTGGTCCTTTCGGTCAAGTCACGTGAATATTTCTTTTTTATAGATCACGATGTTTCGATCGCAACACAAGCAATCGTCTTTAGGTTAGAGAGGATAGTACTGGTGGAAATCTCCTGGTTACACCAGCCCACAGGGGATTATTGTGTCCGTCCGTCCGTCGTGCATCCAAAAATGGGAGGGATGGGGCTGGGTGGAGAGGGGAGGGTGGGGAGGGGCTGGGTGGGGAGGGTGGGGCTGGGTGGGGAGGGGAGGGTGGGGAGGGGCTGGGTGGGGAGGGTGGGGCTGGGTGGGGAGGGGAGGGTGGGGAGGGGCTGGGTGGGGAGGGTGGAAGGGGTGGGGCTGGGTGGGGAGGGGCTGGTCACCCCGTGGTGCCCTTATAAAACTCAACGTTTAACCTACTCACGCCGGCTTGTGCCCGCCCTCACAGTTGGGCATATTGTGTGGAATACACCACGTGGTGCCGCCGTTGACCCTGGCCGTTGACCGAGCAACCCAACGTTCCTACCAGCTCCCTCCGCAGGATTGTGTTTCCTGCAGTCACGAAAGCTTTAAATCAAGAAAATATTTAAATTGCGTCCTGTGACTGGTAGGCATATACATAGCGATGTCGCTCGGGCAGGAATGTACAAATTATATGTACTGTACGATTAATCGGTGCTGCAGAATCGTGTTTTAATCAAACAGTATCTTCATAGGACAACCACTCTTAACTTCCTTATAAAGCAGTAATAATTTTTATCGACACCGGAGAAATAATTGGCTGAGTCAACCCCTACCCAGGATCTGAACTTGCGACCTTCAGATTGCGAATTGGAATGGAAATAGAGGAAAAAATACTGGGCGCTCAGTGGGGGGAGTATTGGTGTCACTGCACGGCCTGGACTAGAGGGGATAGGGCGCGTGAACCACGGAGGAAAGGCCGCATGAACCACGGGATAGGGTGCATGAACCACGCGAGACAGGCCGCATTAACCACGGGGGAAAGGCCGCATGAACCACGGGGGATAGGCTGCATGAACCACGAAACAGGCCACATGAACCACGGGACAGGCCCCGTGAACCACGTGGGAAAGACCTCATGAACCACGGGAGAGGTTGCATGAATCACGGGACAGGCCACATGAACCACGAGACAGGCCGCGTGAACCACGGGGCAAGACTGGACACCGAACAGCTGCCCTGCCAAAACATGACTGCGAAACGCGTTCTTACCCTGTGAAAAAGAGCTTCATAGCTCATCGGATTCCTCCAGTATAAATACATATTCTGAAACTGAACCCTTCTTTGAAAAGCTTACTATTCCTATTCTTACATCCTCTCTGTCCAAGGGCCGATTCAATAGCTCAAGGTCCCCCCCTTCCTCCCACCTCGACAGCACTGCAGCCCCGACTCAGCTAGCCTACATCGACATAATCTCATGGACGCGCAGCTGATATAGCTGTCCCTTGCCCTCTTTACCGGCGTTTCTAAGGTGGTACCATCATCTCAATACATCAAATAGCTATTCAAAATAATCTACGCCTCGAGTTTTCTGGCTGGCTGGCAGGCTGGCTGCTGGCTGGGCACCTCTCCACCCCAACACTAACTCTTGTTGTCGGTGGCTGCGGGAAGTTGCCACCGATACTAACTGGGTAACTGGCTACACGGGATTTTCCGTGTAACAAATACACTTCGAGGTGAATTGAAACGGCGGAAGAAGCGACACACAAAACGTTTTCTTCACTGATTTTCAGAGGGGGGGGGGGGAGGGGCACTTTCGCCGATAAGACATCAGTGTGAGGGGCCGCCACACATTTGAACCCATAAGGGGTTTGTGATAGCACGATTATGATGGTGGTGGGGGGATGTTTTCACATTTGTCGTCGGGGGCCGCACTAAATGGCCACCAGAATCCACCAGCAGCCCGCGGGCCTCATAATGAAGAACGCTGGCTCTAAATGTTCAACTCGTGCTCCTATTATTAATGCACAGGAAGACTGTGAAAGGAGCATGCTCATGACAGCTGCCACTTATTTTCCGTTGCAGTGCAACACCGGGGGCTCCACTCGGCATATATAATGCATTCTACAACTTCCCCACTTGCAAATTAATTACTTTCTACGAATTTCTTCTTTGTTTAAAACAAGCCACCCGTTTTCTCGTCTCAATGAGAAGAAGCAACTGACAACACAGTCTCACTGCACGTGCAGCCCCGCGATCCATTCAACAGCATCGGCAGAAGCTTGATAAAATGCATGGGTACATTTCCACGATATGGAAACGGACACATTTTTAATTGTTGCCCGAACGAGGCACATTTTGTCCCTTGTAAATTATATATATTTAAAGAACGCCCTTAGCAGGGAGGAAATATTAAGGTGAGAGAGGATGTATGGTGGGTGCGTAGGTGGAAAGGATCGGGGGGGGGGGGTAATGGGTTGGTGATAAATCTCAATTATCGCTTTTATCTCGCGTCTTCGGCGGCGGCGACGGGAAGATGCAAAAGGCGGAGGGAATCTCGCAGCCGCCTCGTCTCGTACGCAGCAGCGCCGGCTTTGAGAGACGGCGAGAGACGGGCCAGAGAGAGAGAGGAGAGGGCCAGAGAGAGAGAGAGGCGCGCGCCGAGAGGACATCTGGCTCCGCAGTCGTCTGCGAGCAGCAACCGACGGGGGTTTTTTTCGGCCAAATCATTACTATTCACGGCGCACCTTGAGCAACGCGCTCCCACCAGCCCCCCCCCCCGCTCCCCCCGTATCATCGTGGTTGGTGCGGCGGTGACGCACACGGCACGCTGCCAGCCCCGACGGGGAGCGGCCCAACCAACCCGGTCTCACCCCTCCCCTACCCCACCCAGCCACGCACCCCCACCACCACCATGAGCCCCCCCCCCCTCCCCTACCGCTGCCCTGCCTTCCCGACGTCCCTCTCAGCTGCCTTGGCCGCCTCGGGTTTGTAAACAAAATCTATCCAGCGGCGGCGGCGGCGGTGGTGGCGGTGCAAGCGAGCGTCGTCACGTCTTTGAGAGCGAGAGGGCGAGTGGAGCAGCCTGAATGGATCTGGGCGTTCCTTTATCAATAAAACAAAACAACAAGGCCTTGTTTTGATTTTTATGGGTGGGTTATTCATTTTTTTCGTGCAATTCTTTTTGGGGGAAGCGGCGCGCTGGCGGTGCGGGGGGGGGGGGGCGTTTTATTTTCGGAATGTGACGGCGGATAACCCCCCCATCCCAACACACGAAGACCGGAGAAATTCAGGATGTCCGAGTAGATTGTGCGAGAGATGAGTCGCGAGGCGCTCTAGCGGTTAGCAGTATTTACTGTATTTTCATCCGACGGATGGGCCTGCCTCATCGATGTGATCGTGCTCGGAGCCTGGAATAACCTTGGAACACCATGTCAGAATACGACTACCCCAACACATCATCCTCGGTAAAAAAAACAACGAATGAGCTCTCTCTCTCTCTCTACACGCTGTGCTTTCTGTTTTTTTTCCCATTCGTTTTATTAATTCATGTCTATGTTCGTATTGGTGCTCCACGCGTGATTAGTGTCGGGTTTTTTTTATTTTCCTCTTCGACTGTCTGCGTTTTCTGTAATGGAATGTTTGCATACCAACACCGCTGGACAAGCAGGTATCGCAGGGTCATCGTCTCCGCTCATTTCACTCTCTGGAGGAGATTTGTATGCGGGAGAGGACTGCAACGGCAAAGCGTACTGTAACCAATACAATTGCCTCGCCGTTCCGTTATATGCATTTAAGGTTGCAGCTACAGTCTTTGCAAAAAAACACACATTTGCCTTAAATTTTGATTTAAAGCTTTCGTGACTGCAGGGATTCATATTTTTCTTGCTTTGGTTTTCACACCTGATGATGATTGCTTGTGTTGCAGTCGAAACGTCGTGAGAATTGTATTGTTTTATATTTTTATTATTTTATTGTTTCCCTTCTACGTGACTTTACCGAAAGAACCAAGAATATTTTTTGTCTTGTTTCGCAACGTAATCGTGTTGCATAATAGACCGTCAATGCGGCCGTGCCGGGAGAAAACTGTTTGCATTCGCATTTAAATTTAAAAAGGGTCCATGAATTGCTAAAGAGGGCCCTATGAATAGCACTCAAATGCCATCAACGAAATGCACGCACGGAATGCTGCTCAACAGAGACGCAATCTATATATGGAACTCGCACTTTGAGCGTGTCTGGCGATTGTGAACTGTGATTACGGCGCATAGCATAAATGATCGGACAATGAGTTAATTATCAATATTATTGTCATTGGCCGACTCGGACAATGGGCATTTCAGGTTAATAAAAAAAAACACACACACACGAGCCAGCCGCATTTGCCACGTGATGTTTTCCTGCTGCGATCAGAGCCCGTATAATAACAATCGCACAAATCGGGCGTGTTCGATGCGTGGTCGACAGCAAGCGTCGCGAATCTGTGGACGCCGCCGCTCGCTAAACGTGGCCGCCTCGATGCCTCGTCGATGCCGTCGTCGTGAATGTTTTTTTTCACGATACGCAAAACAAAATTCCAACACAATTTACAGGGGGGGGGATGGGTGGGGGGAAGAAAAAAATAAATTTCGCTCGTCACGGTGAAGGCAGCTTAGCGCCGGTTGTTTATTGGTGGCGGACTTCTGGAGAATCGCAGCGCGTGAAAATAACAGCGAGACAATCACACCACCCCCACCCCCACCCCCCCCGCGTCAACAAGGCGACTTGAAAACACGCGGGGCAGGGCAGGGCCACACGCGTCGAGGCGTCGCTCATTCCGCTGGTGGAGGTTTGGGAGACACCAGCCGGAGTCGCCGCTGCGGTTCCGCGCGGGGCGAGGGAATTGAAAATCTCGTGCGGGGGTGGCAGTCGGGGAGGGTGAGCGGTGGTGGAGTCGGGGTACACGACCCGGTCTCTGTGGTACAGTCTGCACATAGCGGATCGTCCTCCCGCAACGGCGGTGGGAAATTGTTACACTGCGATTCGCTGCCCCTCCACTGCTGCCCACCCCCCCCCACCCCGCTAACCCCCCGCCTCCGATGATGTTGTCGGCCGCGTCACGTGTTACGCATGCGATGCTGGGGGCTGCATTTTTTAATACGATGTAAATCCAGCGCACACACACACACACATATATAAAAATATATTATATTTATAACTATATATTACCGGTTTTTATATATATTACAAGTTTATATACACAGTCGCTGTGTATATTGTTTGGTGGTATAAAACTGCATCGGCTGTTATTTAATTTGGGCTGGGCTGGCGGGGAGAGAGACTCCCACCGTTGTATTTTGTTAGAGCGGAACGGAGCGTCTCGTCTCGTGCCGCCGCGTTTACTGGGGAGGGGGGCGTGGGGGGAGGGGGGCATGGGGGGGCGTGAGGGGGGGGCGTGGGGGGAGGGGGGGCGTGGGGGTATAGGCGCGAGGGGGGTATAGGGGGGAGGGGGAATATGGGCAGGGGACTATGGGGGGGGGAGGGTATGGGGGGGGTCGAGGCTGATTAACCTCGCACCCAAGCGAGAAATATTTCGTCTTCGTTATTGATTTCCTTATTCAACGTAAGCGCTCTTCCGAATGATCGCATGAATTATAAATAAGAATCCGGACGAGCTGGGGTGGGGGGGGGATTTAGGTTAAATTATGCCGAATCAGCTCGAGGGAGGGAGACAGACGCACGTATTACACAAGCAGCCCCCCTCTCCCCCCACTTCTCATCCCCATCCCGCGCCCCCCTTTCAAGGTCACGTCCGCCACTCAAGGTCACGCGAACGCCGAGCGCAATTGGTTCGTTGCTTCTCCCAGCAGTAGCAGCGGCGGCGGCCGCGGCCGCGGCGGCAGCAATAGACGGGGAGGATCACCGGGGACCACAGCGGCACCCGCTGTGTCGTCGTGCGTACGATGACAGCTATCCTGATTGCCGGCACACAAAAGACAAAGACCCCCCCCCCTCCCGCGTAGCCTTTACGCGGCGTTGGGGCAAGTGCTGTTGACGAGGTGCCTGATGAAGGTCGACCTAGGGGAGGTCCAAGACCGGTTCAGATAATCGTCACCGGTGTTGGCCGTGAGCAGGAATCCAACTCGGGTCGCCGGGTTCTTAGCGCAGCGCACTAACCGCTACAGAATGTCTTTCGACTGATGGTGATTAAACGGATGAAAGGTGATTGATTGATTAGTCTGGGGCCTCCGTGCATAAGATCCCTTTTATAGCCTTAAGACTGTAGGGGCAAGTGCTGTTAGCGAGCGCCTATGAAGGCCGGCACGGCACACGAGGGGGTGGGTTGGTCAGCACCACGCCCGACCGCCTTTATCTCCCCAGTGGCGATGTTTACACACCGCACCAGGTACTCATTTGAGGCTGAGTCGACCTAGGGGAGGCCCAGGACCGGTTCAGATAATTATCGTCACTGGTGTCGGTGGCCGTGAGCAGGAATCGAACCCGGGTCCCTGGGGTCGTGGCGCGGTAGTGGAGCGGTTGCACAAGCGCAACAACAACAACCGCCATTCGCCACAAAGTGACGGTGATGTCATCACGGCGCTTGTGCCAGGCTGTGTGCACGTTGAGGCCACGTGCAGTGTCGACCGCCCGTTGGCAGGAGGTCAAGGGGCAGACCCAGGTCGACCGACTGAGATGATTGGCCGCACACACAAACAAGCAATTGTCAATCGCACGCAGAAGGAGAGAACAGGAGGAGAATCTCCACTGCCCCCCCCCCCCCTCCTCTCTCCACATGCAACATTTGGCACGAAATTAAATTTCGCTGGCGCTGTGTAACGCGAGCGAGTCACGCGGGCAGCGCTTGTCATTGCGCGCGGATACAATCGGGAACATCTCTACGATTTAGCTATCGGGGTCATTGCGTTGGCCCCGAGAGAGGTTCGGCATAATGATACAACTGCAAATTTAACGCTTTAGGGATTCGGAGCTAATTCGCTCTACGCATATTATTACTGTTGCTCGCATATGCAGACAGTTGTACTCTTCTGCGGTGGGGGTGCGGTTCGGGCGGTGGGGGGGGGGGCTATCCGAGTTTGAGTCCTAGCCACGGCTTACGTCAGTGTCAAGGGGGTCAGCGGGCTGGAGCTGAAGATGCCTTCGTGGCACGTGACACGTGACATCAGCCAGCGCACGGCGAGGACACCACCACCACCCACCACCACCCACCACGGCGGCGACGCGTCGCCCCCACGTGTCCAGACTCGTTCCCGTTGCGAGCCTTGACGGCGGCGGCGCGGCTCGGCACGGCTCGGCTTCTGCAGTGGAAAAGGGAGACAAAAAAAACATCCCGGCGCTACTCCTGAGCTCGGCACGGCCCTGGCACGGTTCGGCTCGGCTGTGCCCAGTTGGCGGGGTGGGGAGAGAAGGGGGGGGGGCGGCAGTGGAGATTCTCCTCTTGTTCTCGCCTTCTACGTGCGATTGACAATTGCTTATGATGCTTTCAAGTAAAGCCACGAGTGTCGCACGAAAAAAGTAAACAACGCATGCTGTGTGAATTGACCCCCCCCCCCTCCCCCCACCTGCAGGCCGGCTGCGTGAGACTCCTCCCGGTGCCTTGGCAGAGCGAGCACTTGGCTGAAATTTGCCATCAGCTGCATCGAAAAGTAGTCATCTGCCAAAAAGGTAAGCCGCGTCGTGGGGGGCACGGCCGGGGGGGGGGGCATGGGGGGGAAGGGTGGCGGGGGAGCACCGCATGCGTCAATTACATGGGCAATGGAAGTGCGAGTGTTTGTCAATTTCACCCAGAATCGTCAGAATTTATCCTGGAGAAATCCGACGCGCCATCAAAGCCTTCCAGTATGCATACTCTTTGGTTTTATTCGGTAAAGTCACGTAGATAAAATAAAACAAAATAAAAGAAAATAATTAAATCACGACGTTTCGGAGGCAACACAAGCTTCCGTCTTCAGGTGGAAAAGTCAACGCAGAATATCTGTGTCAGGAGCACAGTTCAGAGACAACCGGGATTATATACAGGTTAAGGGAGGGGGGAGGAGTCAGTAAGGGGGCGTGGGTGGGTGGGAGGGCTGGGTTAAGCAGCCTTTTGATAGGCTGCTGCGGGTAACAACCACTTCGCACTGCACGGGAGTGGGTAAAAACCCACCTTTTGTTACGCTGAGTGTGGGGTCAGGGAGATTTTGGAAGCGGGTGCAAAACGGCTGATGCTGCGTGGGGGGTCGGGGGAATTTTGAAAGCGGGTGTTCAATTATAAGGTAGCTAAAGTTTGAAATACAACCACTGAGAAAAGGAAATGGCCGTACAAAAAAATTGAGAGGCAGCTAACGTTTGACTTGATTTATAACATCTTTCCAGTGATTGCTCAATTTGAAACCATCCTCTCGGTTGAAGTTGTGTCTGTGTTTGTAAATCTGGATGGCCTCGTGGACAAATCTCTGATAATAACCGGTAGGTTTGCAGAGCACCTTTGTATCGGAGAAAATAATATCATGATCACCCACAGCGTTGTAACAATGATCAGCCACGGCAGAAGAATTCGTTCTGCCGTGTTTCAAATCTGATTTGTGCTCGCGAATTCGGCCAGAGATATGTCGCTTCGTCTCCCCGATATAGCAGTCCCCGCAGGTACAACTTAATTTGTAAACACCAGGGTACTGTAAGTCAGGAATAACATCTTTTACTGACGGGATCAGATCACGGATTTGTGCACTGTGTTGAACCGGACCTGGATCTCGTGTTTGTTTAGAATTTTGGAAATCTTTTTAGTAACGCCTGCTATGTATGGTAACGTGATGATTTTGATTGGAGTGTCAAGTGGTTGTTTCTGTATGGTGGGAGAAACAGCTTGGCGGATGGTACGGTCAGAGTAACCGTTCATCTTGAGGGCCGAATGTACATGTTTTAATTCACTGGTCAGGTGGTGTTTGTCAGAAATGCAATGAGCCCTATGGATTAACGTTTTGATGAGATAATTCTAAAGAGGCGGGTGGTGGTGGGAATCAGGTTTCAAGTAGGAGTCTGTGTGGGTGGGCTTCCTGTAAACAGAATGTCCCAAAGAGCCATCAGGCCTTCTCTCAAACAGGACATCCAAGAATGGTAGCTTGCCATCTTTCTCCACTTCCATGGTGAATTTGATGGAAGGGTGTCTGGAATTGATGTGGTCTAGGAAAAGGTTCAAAGCTGGGAGGCCATGTGGCCAAATGACGAACGTGTCATCCACATATCTCTTCCACAGGGAAGGGCTGAGGGTGGATGTCTGGATGGCGTTTGATTCAAATTTCTCCATGAAAACATTGGCTATCACTGGTGATAAGGGGGAACCCATGGGGGTACCCTCATTTTGTTTGTAGAAGGTGCCATTCCAAGTAAAGTAGGTGTTGGTGAAGCAGTGCTTAACCAATGTCGGTACATCGGGGTCAAGTCCATGTTGGACCAAATCTTCGATTATTGTGATGGTATCAGGTACTGGGACCTTGGTGAACAGAGATACCACATCAAAGTTGACGAGGATATCATCAGGAGACAGTACAATGTCCTTAACCATAGAGACCAATTAGGTTGAGTTAAGTACGGCTGAGCTGGTCTTGCCAGTATGGACGGGCCAGAAAGTTAAAACAACAAACAATACAAAAATAAACTATAGGAGTGCGAAGTATACGAAAGATAAGCAAAATCATGAAAACTAAATTAATTGAAACTTTTATTTTATTTTACTATGTAAAGCCCACTGAGCTGTTAGTTCTTTTTCAAAAGCGATCCGGCCCTCCATCGAGTCAGGATTTGTGTTATTTTTGCCTCCGCGGCAGACGTGAGAGTGGACCACTGTGTGACTATGGTGGTAGGAGTGGGGAGGCGAGTGATTGCTGTGTTTTTTGACACAGTGCTGTCCGCTTTGTATGTTGTCCGTGGAACGCATTGTGGAACCGATTCAATGTTCATGGACATGTTTAGTAATAGTGACGTTGAGTAAAAAGGCCAGTGACAATTTGTTTTCGAGAACTGGTGCTGCATCGTTGATACCAGCGGGTGGCTGGGTGGGTGGCTGACTGGCTGGTTGAGTAGCTGGCTGGCTGGTTGGGTGGCTGGTTGTCTGGCTGGCTGGCTGGGTGTGTGAGTGGCTGGCTGGGTGGGTGGCTGGCTTGGGTGGCTGGCTAAGCGGATGGCAAGGTGGCTGACTGGCTGAGTGGATGGCTGGCTAGAGTAAGCTAACCAAGCAAACGACGACAATAACAATCCTCAGTGTGACTCAGAGCTGTGCAGTGCCGCCAATTGCCATCATCATCGGAGTCATCGCCTATTTTTCATTGCACCTCTCACATTCAATGCGCCATGCACACACAGCAACGACGAGGGCAACCCGGGATGTTTGTGCAAATTTTAATGGGTAAGTGGGAGGAGGCTTTCTGCCAGCCCAGTGCTGCGTGAGTCGGAGCAAACGCTATCGCCTCCACACAGCTACGCCACACCGATTGCGATGCCTCTAAACCACAGCAGCTTGCGTCCCGTGATAAACATCAAATCATCAGGTTTTGCGGGGGGCACCTGACAAGACGGTTCACGTTGCCTGTGACAATTTATAAATGTGCGCGTTGTAAAAATTCAACGAACACTGCTCCCCAAATGTCTTGTGGGCAGAACCTGGCCTTCGCTGGCATTGCTTGCGATCAGAAGTAGCTTAAACTCAATCGAATAACAATCTCCTTCCATCCTGCAACTCCCCCCACCACCCCCTCTCTGTCGTTGAGTGTTCGTGGAAGAGGGGGGAGGATGTGGAGATAAACAGAGCGTGGCCTGACACCCCCTCCCCCCTTTTGTTGCGCAACTGCTCGCTCAGATGTGGGCAAAGCAGTTGGCAGGGGGGGGGGGGGGCGACGATTAAGTTGGGCGATCGGTTTACACCGGGAACTGACTGCTCACACGGGTGGCGGGGGGGGGGGGTCCTCAACGCGGGAAGGTCGTTTTCGAATAACCCCCGTCCCCTTGCCTTCTGCGCACCACAAGAAGATGAATGGGGTAAATATCGGTCAAATATGATGATGATGATGATTCTTATGATTAATACCGTGTAGGGGCAAATAAAGGAAAGGTCATAAAATTTGCGTGGCGACGAAAGTGTGAACGGTGCTATGATGCAGACGACGCGAGCGTGGTTGTGCACAAACTCCCCGTGGTATATTTACCGGCGAGCTCGGCGCGACCTTCTGACAATTTCGCTGCGAGAAGGGCGCGTACGCCGTTTTCGCCCCGACACGTGACCACCCTCACTTAGCACGCCACGGCTCATCACCTTGCCGCTGTGTTTTCATTCCTCTGCTTTCCTTAAATCTCCGCCGTCCTCCTCCTAAAGAATCCCTCGGCTCCGCCGTGACGATTTGAAGCGTGCACGAGTCGACCGATCCCCACCTCCCCGCGCCCCAAATTATTCTTTCGTTCTCCCGTGCGTAAACTCTTACCCAGCATGACGCTTTGTGGTCCCTCTTCCCAAACCTCACACGACGACCATCCCCGCAACCTCGTCCCCACCTGAACCGAACCTGACCCTCAACCCCAAACCACCACCCCCACCACCACCCCCCCATCGTTGCCACCACCGCTGCCATCCTCGCCACTAATTCCACCATCGTCACCACCACCACCACGACCATCATCGCCGTCGCCACCGCTACCACAACCGCTGCCACCCCTTGCCACCATCGCCATCAACGCTACCAATCTCCACTACCGCCATCATCGCTTCCGCCACGACCACCGTCGCCACCACCCCCGCCACCCCCGCCGTCCCCAACCCTTCGGCGGCAACAGCCGTGCGGAGGTTCATCGCTCGGCAGAGGTTGCGCCAGAGGGTGAGCGGCGGCGGCGGCGGAGGCGGTGGAGGCGGCAAGCAGTGGGCGGCCGTGACTCCCACCAAGGATGGCCACGGGGCGCCACCGCCTTCGGCGTCGGAGGGCGGCAGCGGCCGGCGGTTTTACCGCAAGCTGAGGGCGATGCACGGCGGAGGCGGCGGCGGCGGCGGCGGCTGCCACCCGCACGACTGCTCCTGCGCGCTCGAAGGCGTCAAGAGCGGCGCCGCCAGGCACAAGCTAGCGGCCAGAGACTGGTAAGCGACGGGCGCGTTCAGCCGAAAGGACGAAACCGGTCGGTCGGTGCAGCTTGGTGGCGTGGGATTTTGCGCAGTCGTCCGTTGTCCACGATTCGAGATGCAATCGATTTTTTTTATTATTACTTACACGCTTTTTATTAACTCACTCTGTCTGTTGTCGTTGTTGTTGTATCCTCAAATCTTGTAAGTCAATTTGAACCCACTTACCAATGTGGTAACGACTGCAAACTTGGTATACTTATGTCATACTGATGACAATACTATATTCTATCGTAAAAAAACATTTTTTTTAAACTTTCTTTTTTATACGTTATGTTTCGGCTTGGCTCTAATTGTCCACGCGAAACTGATGTTGGCTGTAAAGGACCACGGTCCCTTACGTTATGGCAAACTTCGGGGCCACTTCCTGGAATTGTGAAGTTCTTCCATTACTAGTACGGTACATTTCATTAAAGCGTGTTTTTAAATAAAAAAAAAAGATTACTTATTTTGCGTTAAGCCGGAACCACCCCCCCTCCCGTGCCCCCCACCCCCCAGCCCCCCAGCCCCGCTTAATGATCCGGCCAAATGTGTGTCGTGATACCCTCCGCCAGCTGACAACGCAGCCAAAACCAATTGAAACGTCCGCGTGTAAAAGCTTCCGCACGCGTTTCCGCTCACGGCCACGGCGAAGTTTGATGCATATCGTTAAGCGAGGATTCCTCGCCTGTAAAATCGGCAGTTCACCAGCATTGATTCATGCAATGCCCGACTGCTGATGAGACACTGTAATGCCGAAACCAGATTAGTATCTCCATGTCCAAAAAAATATCACGACTTTTTTTTAATCACGGGGGAAACAATTGTTTCCGCTCCAGGTTTTGACGGAACTTCTCCTTAAGCGGACGATAAAAAAACATCGTGAAAGATTTTGATTTAAAGCTTTCGTGACTGCAGGGATTCATATTCTTGGTTCTTTCGGTAAAGTCACGTAGAAGGGAAACAATAAAATAATAAAAATAAAAGCAATAAAATTATCACGACGTTTCGACTGCAACACAAGCAATCATCAGGTGTCAAAACCACAGCAAGAAATTTTGAAAAAAGTGGCGGTTATTTTTAACGTTAGCACCACGGAGAGCGATTTGACAGTTTGTTCAGATGGACGAGTCCATCTATGTTCGGAAAAGAGGAGGGGGGAGACGAAAAAAATGGATGCGGTCTGAAAGCCACCGTAAGCGTGAACAATCAATTAAGACCCTAAATGATTTATCAAATCCTTCCAATGATTGCTAAACCAGAATCCATCTTCTCGGTTGAAATTTTGTCTGTGTTTGTATATGTTTGTATATGTGGATAGCCTCATTATTTTTTTGATTCCCTTCTATGTGATTTTACCAAAAGAACCAAGAATATCGTTAAAGATGTGATATAACTACAATAGGTGAGCGGTGTAAAGGTTTTTCCAAAAATTTCCACCAACAGGAGGGAAACAAAGACAAAGGTCCCCTGTATAGCCTGTGACAGACTGTTGGGGAAAGTGCTGTTAGCGAGCACCTATAAAGGCCGGTACGCACACGAGGGGGTGGGTGGGTGGCCGGCACCACGCCCGATCGCCTTTGTCACCTGAGTGGCGATGTTCACACACTGCACCAGGTACTCATTTGAGGCTGAGTCGACCTAGGGGAGGCCCAAGACCGGTTCAGATAATCGTCACTGGTGTTGGCCGTGAGCAGGAATCCAACTCGGGTCGCCGGGTTCTTAGCGCAGCACGCTAACCGCTACAGGATGTCTTTCGACTGATGGTGATTAAATGGCTGAAAGGTGATTGATTGATTAGTCTGGGGCCTCCGCGCATAACCGCCCAACGCTCCTAGCCCCGGGGATCATCGACCGGTCGAGATCTACGAGGCCGCACGTCCGCACACAGTCCCAAATGAGGCGGCTCGCGTTCCGTCTTTTCAAAATAGATTCCGCAAACAAGTTGGGCTGCAGGGCACTCCGGGACACACCAACAACCAAACCTGCGCCTGACAACTTTGAATTAGGTCATTTTGGCTTTTTAAAAAACACACACAATCAATCAATCAACCAACATCGGCCCGCTTTTTCCGAACTGAATCGGGTCACGGGGGCAGCGACTCCACCAAGGCCTTCTCCTATCCTGGTCCTGTCCTCCGCCAGCGGCATCGACCGTGGCTCCCGGATCGCCGGGCTCTCCTCGGCCAGGCGCACCGGCCTGGGCTTTTCCAGAGCGATCGTGGGCGGCCTCGGGGTCTTTTGCCCGGATGACGTCCTTCGGACGTCTCCCCGGGGGAGTCTGTCGGCATCCTTAGCAGATGAGCCCATCCACCGTAGCCGGCTTCGCGCCACGCTCAATAGTGCCGACTGGACGTTGAGTACATATATACAAAAATAGAATGCATCTTGGGATTACATCGACAGACAGAAAGAGCAACGTGCACAGGCATGTTCTCGAACAGCACTTGTCCCAGCAGTCTGTCAGCCTATACGGGGACAGTCGTCTTGGTAAGCTGGAAGAGGGCTTGAAGCTGATTATACGGCCAGCAACAAACAGCACTATCGATGGTGCAACGGATCAGAGTGCGAACGCGTTAGTTGATTTGGGCAGAGGTTAGGAGAGCTTTGGGCAAGGGACGATGGTGAGGGGAGAGAATGATTGTAAAAATGGCGACTGTATTTTATTGAGTACATATATACAAAAATAGAATGCATGTATTTTATTTTAACACGTCAATTGAATGCCATTCACGGGCTGCTCAGGCATGGCCAGCTTTCTGGAAAATGCAAAAACACCGAGGCACTTTGTGCACTTTGTGCAGCAGGGGGTTTAAGGACAACGCTGGGAACGCATCGTACGTACGTAAGTATATGTTGAACTTCTTTCGCACCGTTACAATTCGGATGTGTGGGGCTGGGACCTTGAACGCCACCTGTCCACTCGAAAATTCTGTTTCATCTCACGACGCAGTACACACATGGGTTTCGTGTAGCCTCTCAAAGCCACCGTATCTGTAGACGCCGTGGCCGTATTTTTAATTTTTTTAGAGTAGGGGGGAAGAACAAGAGGCAGCCAGCCTGGACTTTAACTGGGGCGTCGACAGCATGTCGTCGCTTTAAGATGTTTCTCTGTTCATATTTTTGTTTGTTGCGGTTACACCCGACTCAAGAGCCGCATGGCTCAGAGGGCTATACCTAATAAATGAAACTTGAAACTTGAATGTCTGGAGGACGGTAATTCCAGAGTGTGGGGGACAGCAGAGGACGATGCCAATCTCGGGCGGCGGCGGCAAACCGGATTCGGACCCAGGTGCTCACGTCCAAGGTTCTCGCCTCGTGAGTGGGGCTCGCCCTCGCTTGCCGTCGATTTGGCCTCTTTGAGCAGGTGGCGGCAGCGGTGGTCTCTCCCGCGAAAGTGGCAGAGGCTTCAGGGTCGGCAACACGCAAGCGACGTCGCGACACCTTGCAGGGGGCGTCCCTGATCGCGGAGGATCACGCCGGGAATTTGAACGTTTCCTATAAAAGCAGCGGTGACGTTCTCCGCCGCTGAGACTGCCTAAGAAATCCAAGTGACCGCAGGATTTGCATGTTTTTTTATTTATGTTTGGCCAATTAGGAACGTGAGGCTCATTTGAAATACATCACAGTGCGATACTGTACATCAATCCCCTATATTCTCCAGGTTGTGCTTGTGCTTTAATTGAGTTAGAACCTATTCACTGCATCCTCAGCGCATTTATTTGTCAACACACGAGTGCATGTGTAATGAGCGACTTCTGCGGCACGTCGTGTTGAGGATACCTCTTTATTTACTCACACTGGGCACAACGCAGGCCAACACCTGTTCTTCCTCACACTGAGTACAACACTAGATATTAACGTCTCTACTGGCTACACACACAGCCGATCACTCGGCGTGGCCCCATCGCCCTCACTCGGCTACGCCGCTGCCTGGCGGCGTGACGATGACGGCGATGGGAACCACGCAGGGGATCTTCCACATGGCCGGACGACGGAGAGAGATGTCGGCGAGCAGCGACGCAGCCAGGACCCAAGACCCCACACGCGAGCCCCAAGCTCCGGGTCTGCTCCCTCTCTTATATACCCCCAGGCGTGGCTAGGCCCCGCCTCCGGCCACACCCTCTCGTGGAACCTTCGAGGAGGTTCCCGGAGTATCTCGGCTAGCTCCACCTGTTGCCTTTGCCCCAGATACACCTCCTTCTCTGATTGGTTGTTACTTCTGTGCCCGTACCCGTGAATCCCTTCCCAGGCCAGCAGGTGTCACCCTGTCATTACACATGAAGGTTTTCTCGTTAAGGAGCAGAAACCATCATGCAAACTCCGGTCATCCTCACAGCAGCGGCTTTTGGCTCACCATCGGACAAAGACTGTTGTCACGGCATCATCGCGCGCTTCTGCGGCCGTCTGGAACGCTCTTCCTTCCGATATTAGGAAGCCACTGGAGCTGTGCACTTTTAAATATAAATTGAAAACTAATTTCGTTCCAACTACTTTAGATTGTTGTCCTTCCCCCGCACCTCCGATTAGTACGGTTGGCTACGTACGGTGCGAAAGAAGTTCCACATGCATACATACGTACGATACATTCCAAGCATTGCCCTTCAACCCCCTGTGGCACATTGCACAAGTGTCTCCCTGTTTTACATATGCCAGAAAGCCTGGCCAATGCCAAAGCAATGCGTGAATACAATTCAATCGACGTGCAGAACATATGACGGGCGTGATGTTCGCGGCTATGCTTCAGTTACGAGTGGACACTCACGCGTGAAACACCATGCAGGCATTTCCGCTAGCAGTGACGTGAGCAAGAAATTGCAGACGTCTTTCGGAATCCATGAGTTGTGGAAAATTTGGGTCACGCTTCGAATCAAGAATATACAAATATATTTTTAGACTCTGGTGCATGCAGTGAATCTTAGCGGGCAGCAGGGGTCACATGTGCCCATTACATACAAGAAATATGAATTGAAAAGCACCGAGTCGCAAACGTATTCGATGCGAGAATTCAATGCGAGCTTAAGAAATGCATTTAACGAGATGTCACGATACAGTTTATTTGCGGCCTTGCCGAGACATGGCTCGGCAAGGCCTTCATCCAGCAGTGGGTAGATCATGACTGATGATGATGATGTGTATTTAAAGTAAGGAGCAAGAACATGTAAATGTTTCACAAGCAAGCGCCGCTGCATTTGTGGATTTCAAATGGGTTTCCATTTTGAGCAGCTAATGGATTTTCCTGTGCATTGGCGTGCACACGTGCGCGTGTGTGCGTGTGTCCATGCGTGCGTGTGTCTGGGGCGGAGCGGTGGCGCAGCGGTTAGCGAACTGCGCTGCAAGCCAGACGAGAGATGAGTTTGTTTACCGGCCACGGCGAACATCGGGGGCAAATATCTCAATCGGACCTGGGCCTTTCCCCGCCACTAGGTCAGCTCAGCGTTAAATAACCACCCGGTGAAATGTGCAAACGCCAGTGCTGGAGAGATAAAGGCGACCGGGCGTGGTGCTGGCCACACCATCGTCTAGTCTTGATGGGTGCTCGCTAGCAGCACTCGTCCCAGCGGTGCGTACGCCTATAGGGGCGATCTTTGTCTGCGTAACCTGGGAGAGGGCTATATTTTTTGTGACGGTCAGAGAGCTGCAGTTTGTCAGAATGACACGGACACAATGAGGGGGACCTCCCAATCAGCCGCTGCAGTCCGTGCGGACGGCAATTAAGAACAAATTAAATGTGACAAATACCCTTGGAATTACATTCATAGAGAGAGAGAGAGAGGAGCACATGGACTAGAGAACGCACGCAGGTTAACGACACCGGACCGTGGGCTTGGGCTGGAGTCGTCACGTGGCCAGGGGGGATGACGGCCGATGGTCAAAGACGAGGCACGGAGTGGCAGCCCAGGGATGGAACGCGTCTGAGAGGAGGGCCACCCGACGAGACGGAGCGATGAGACCTGCGCTGGTGCTGGAGATCTGTGTAAAAGAGCTTCACAGCTCATCGGATTCCTCCAGTATAAATACATATTCTGATTCTGATAAATATTCTGAAATGAGTATTTCGCACCATCCTGTGAGAGATGGTGACGGATTGGGGAGGCAAAACGTAATTCGGTCTTTTCTAAACTTTCAGGTGTTTTTCTTACACAACCTGCGGGGAATTTGAGCGCAAAACAAATACAGCGCATAATACTTAACCAATTATCTTGTGAAATTGTCATTGGCTATTCAGGGGCTGCTGGACGCTTCACAATGCATCAGGGAGGCGATTCTGACGTGAGCGGTTTCCGCCTGAAAGCGCAGGTCTGACCTTTGTCGCATGCCGCCTTGGCTGGCACGTCGCCGTTACGCGGCCGCGGTCACTTTTTTTTATGCCTCCGGCATTTTCCTTTCCGGAGAAAGAACGAGGGCAGCGACAGGGAAGGGATTGGTGGGTGGGGCTGGGGGGGTAGGCGGTGGGGGAACGACGAGGCGGTAGTGATGAGTGGGGGGGTGAGGGGTGCGGGGGGGGGACCACAATCCCCGCGATTTCTTCCACGCGAGCGCTTTGCCCAACGCGCGTTATGCACTGCCTAAATTTCATTTTGTTCCCTCCCTCACCATCCCGCCACCGACACTCCCCACCGCTACCATCGCCGCGACGACGCGATCCTCCCGCAGCCGGGTCGCGGCGGCAACGGCGGCGGCGACGGTGCCGGAGAAGGGCCTCTGCTCGTGCGACCATCGCCGAGGCCTGGCGCTGCCCTTCTCCTTCCCGCCCTTCGGATTCGCCGCCGCCTCCTCCGCCGTCCCCTCCCCCGCCGCGGGCGCTCGGCCCCCGGGCCGGACGCGCGCGGCGGCGCTCGCCGTTTCCCCGCGGCCGTCGCGCGCGTACCCGCAGATGTTCCTGCCGCACCCCTGCGGTCCCCCCGCGGGGCCCAAATCGGCGGCGGCGGCGGCGATGACGGCGGCGGCGTTGGAGCACAGGCATCGGCCGCGCCGCTGCTGCAGCACGGGGCCCGCGCTGTGCTACGAGATCGGCCCGCCCGACGGCACCGACGGCGGCGCGGGAAGACCAGGTCGGTGGCGGCACCGCGGGCGGCACCGGGGGGCGCGGGACGGGGCGGCGCGGGCGGAGCAGGGCGATGGCCGCCGGGGCGGAATTCGTCGCGCCGCTCGCGCCGATGGGAGTCTTCGCCGAGCCGTGCCGCCGTCGGCGTGCGCCGGGCATGTCGACGGTGGCGACGCTAACTGTCGTCGCTTTCACTGCCCGTGATCAACCGTTTACTTGTTTTTTAAATGTAAGGCGGCCGATGAACAAATCGCCCGCAACGCGCCCCGATTCCATCAGATCTTGGGATAGTGCTCGGATGGGCGACCGCCGTGCACAAATAGGTTGCCACCAGGGGCCTTCACACAGCAGTGGATTAACAAAGGGCCTGTAAATTATGGAGGAAGGCACCTCCGTGCCTCTCGGTCATGGAGGGTTTATTTGGCCATTCTTCACCGCGCTCGCCACTGGGGGTCGGTGAAGGTGGCGTGGTGGCCCATGACTGGTTCATATATTAATTCGCCATTGATGTGAGCCAAGGTCAGGAATCAAACTCGAGTGGCCGGGTTCAGAGAAAAGCGTGCAAATCACTCAGCCTCTGCTCCATGCAATTGGTAATATAAAAATGGTACATTGCATACAGTAAAATGTAGCAAGACAATTAGAATTTTATATAACTGATGTCATATGTATGAACAAAAACCCCTAACCAGCCAGGTAGTTTAGCAATCGAGTTGAAATCCTGATTTGGGATCTACTGAGCCCATCATCCCTCTGGGGTCGACTCACCCCTGTCATAGGAATGTAGAATTTCCACCAATGCCTCAATGTTTGTTCGAGCAAGGACATCTATTTCACTATATGCACTTTGCACGAAAAGTCGCTCATGAGATATTACATATGTATTATATTATCGATCATATGTTTATTTTTTTCTTTAATCATATGGCGTTATTGATGAACATGTTGAGTTTTGCGGTTGAACAACTCCACCGTACGACGCGGGAATCCCAATATTTATTTATACTGCAGGAGGAATCCGATGAGCATGAAGCTCTTTGTCACCGATGTCCATTTGGGACACGGGGACAGAACATCACAGCAACAAACGATACAAAATAACACGATAGTAGTGCAGAGCACAAGAAAGGTAAACGAATCACCAAAAAAAACCATACAAATAAATCTGTGATCGTGCGGCCGCACATTTCTCCTTGCCCGGAATCAAACGGGACGTGACTTCCGCGCGAGACCCAGAGCAAGAGCCATTTACAACCCAGCACATGCAGGGGAGTTGGAAATGAACCCCACTGCGTAATTGGCAAAACGCCTCACCGCTCGGGGCGTTTCACCCATTTCATAACGAGCGCCGCACGTTACAAACACGGTAACTCGACCAACCTCCCCCCCCCCTCCCCGTTCCGCGGGCAAATCGACGCGTTCGTAAGACGCCCAACGGGATACGCCGCTCTCCTCCGTCTCTTCTCGGCGAGGGCAGGACACAGCCGTGGGGAATCTTCGGGAATTCCCCACGATAACAAATATTTGAAAGTGACTAAATCGCGCAAGGACAAAGATTCACCCCCCCCCCACCCCCATAGCCCACAAGGGCCGGCACGGCACACATGGGGATGGGTGGCCAGCCACCTTTGCCTCCCCAGTGGCTGGTGTTGGTGGCCGTGAGCAGGAATCGAACATGGGTCGCCGGGTTCATATCGCGGCGTGCTAACCACTACACGAACAGTTGCCCATTGGATAGACTCTCCGCAACCATAGGATTGTCAATTTATACAACTGCTTAGGGCTGTAAATGGGGGATGAGAATCAATGCCTCGGTGGTCATTGAACCAAAGAAATCAGTGACAGTTTTGTTTTCGTTTTTCTAAATTACATTGGCGTCATTGCCTTAGCCACCCCCTCCTGCCCTCAATCTCCCCCACTCTTCCGCCCCCTGCCCCCCTCCCACCACGCTACCCACAGGCGATCAGAAGCCGTGTGCCGACGACGACGATTACATCACGAAGAGGAGGATCCCTCCGCCGAAGCCCAAGCGTAACCCCAGCACCCGGCTCAGCGGCCTGTACGGCGCGAGGAGCACCGCATTGGCGCTGCCGTCACGCCCGGCCTCCACGCCCGTCATCCTTGAGCGCTCCTGGGCGCGGCCGGGCCACACGGCGCTCAAGGACCACCACCACCGCCGCCGTGATGACGATGACGAAGACGACGACGGAGAGCCGGTCTACATCGAGATGGTCGGCGAATTCGGCAGAGATGCCGAGCAGCAGGAGGAGGAGGACACGGCCGCCGCAGCTGCCACCACCCCTGCTGCCGCCGGCACTCCGGCGTCGCGGCCTGAGCAGGTGGAGTCGGAATACGAGGAGATGAAGTACTACCCGGTGTGCTTCTCCACGCTGCCAGAGCCTGCCGACCCGGCCAAGCGCGGCGCATTCGGCCTGCCCTGCTACCGGAGGCCGCATCCCCATGGCCACGCCGAGGCGACCAAGGGCGCGGAGGGCAGCGGCGGCGACGGGACCCGGTCGGGGCCCCGCGGCGAGCTGGCCAACCGGATCCCGCCGCCCTTCCCCGAGCTGCAGCCGCACCGGCCCCCTCTGCTGTCGCTGCCACCAGAACCGGCGTCGGCGCCGTCGGCGGCCACCGCCGCGGCGTGCCCCTCGGCCTCCGCGTTCGTCGACGTGGCCGATGCCAAGCAGGGCGGCGCGCCGGGCGCGAGCGCCGGTTACGCGAGGCCCCCTCCGGGCCCGTCCAGGGAGCTCGAGGCCCCGGGAAAGGAGTTGAAGGACGCGGAGAGGGAGGTCTGCGCCCCGCTGAGCAGGGGGACCCTGAGCGGTGTCGAGCGGCCGTGCCCGGCTCCCGCGCTGCCGCCGCTCCTGCTGCCGCCGCCGCCATCCTCTAAACCGCCGTGCAAGCCGGGCCACGTGGGCCTGTGCCTGCCGGGACACGGCCAGGCGCCCAAGTCGTCGGCACCCGAGATTTCTGACGCGACGAGCCCCAAGATGCCTCTGGGCCACCACCATCACCCCAAGTCCCACTGCTACCCCGCGCCGGCCGCGGCAGCCACGGCGGCGGTGACGCACGCAGGGGGCTACGGCGCTCAGGCTCAGGTGTCCTCGCAGGTGAAGGCAACGGCGGTGGAGGCCAAGGCCTATGATGCAAAGGCGGCCTGCCCACGCATCCACCGGCCCCAGGAGGCCGCGGGGGCTCACGCTCCGCACGTCCCCAAGGCCCAGTCCCTGAAGAGCTGCCAGGTCAAGGCCCAGACCTTCCCGCAGCCGCACGGGGCCTACAAGCCGGCCTCCAGCCAGGCCAAGCTCCAGGACTACGCACGGGCCAGACCTCCAGCCTACTCGCAGGCCCACCAGCCCCCAAACTATGCACAGGCCACGTCCGAGATTTACACGCTGGCCCAGTCGCTGGCCTTCTGCAGGGTGCAGTCGCAGACCTGCACAAAGTTCCAGTCGATGGCCCCGCAGGCGAATAGCCACCGGCCTTGCGTGCAGACGCAGTTCAGCGTGCCGCCGGCCGCCAAGGCACAGCCGGGCTCTTCGCAGCAGCCCAACCACCACCGCTACTTTTGCCAGGAGACACACATCACCACCTACTCGCGCGGCACGCCGCACGCCACCGGCGGCTCCAAGAGCCACACCGTGCCGCCGCACGCCAAACTCGGCTCGGCCGCGTGGACGTCCGCGCAGGCGGCCGGGAATCCCAGGGCCGCTCAGGCCGAGGCCCAGGCTCGGACGCGAGCTCAGGCCACCGCCACCGCCACCGCCGGCGTCGGCGCGGCCGCCGGCACAGGCGGCGGCGGCTCCGGGCAAAACCAGCAGGGCGGCTGCGTGCGGGCGCAGCACACACAGACGTACCCGCAGAGCAGGGCCCACGGCGACGCTCGCTTCGGGTACCGCCAGCAGCACCACTCGGCGGTGGCGGCGGGCGGCAGGCCTCTGACGAGCCCACTCGACGACCTGGCCTTCGTGCTCGTTACGGGCAGGCCTGCGCTCAGGTCGTCACCAGCCGGCAAGCAGCTTAACGGTGAGCAGCCTTTGTTTGCTACCGTTGTCGTCATCGTTGTTGTTGCTATTCTTGTTGTCATCGTCATTGTTGCAATCATTGTTGTTGTCGTTGCTGTTGCTATTCTTGTCATTGCCGTCGTCATCGTTGTTGTTGCGAGTGCGTGCTTCCTGCTTCTTCGACACAATTCTGGTGTTCGTCTTTCTTGACTGGTGACAACCCCGAACTTTACACAAAAAAAACCATCGTATTCTAAGCTGCTGAATTTACTTTTTTTTTCTGACGGGGTTCCGAGTCCATGCCTGCTGGGATTGTTTTTGTTTTATTGTAAGCTCTGGTTGTTGTCGCTGTTGTTTGTTAAATGTGTCGGAGCGCATGACCAAAGGTCCGAAGCTCCTGATCACCTTGTCATGAAGAAACCCATACGATGAGAAAGGTCCCAAAGTGTAACCTTAAGTCTGTTGGGAGCAAGTGCCGTTAGCGAGCACCTATGAAGGACCGGAACGCCACACGAGGAGGTGGGTGGCCAGCACCACGCTCGGCACCACCTTTGTTTCTCCCTAGTGGCAGATGTTTATACACTGCACCAGATACTCTTTAGAGGCCTTGTCGGCCTGAGGGAGGCCCAGGACTGGTTCAGATATTCGCCGCTTGTGTTGGTAGTCGCGAGTGGCAATCGAGCTCAGGTCGCTGGATTAATAGTGCAGAGCACTGACCACTACAGAAACAGTTGTTCTACGGTCCATAATAGAGGTTTGTTTTTGGTTAGATCGCGTACATATATAAATGTGTCGTTAAAACCCGCCACCACCCGACACAGCCAACTAGTAAGGTTTGTCACGTAAACAGAACGTGGCCAATTCGTCACTAGTACAGCACACCGGTGTGTTGGAGAGCCAAGCCACAACATTTACAATCTGAGTACGACGTTTCTTCAGTAATTACAACTAGCTTCATCAGGCGACAACCAGATTTGTGGAGAAGTCTTACTGTTTCCTTGTAGAGGCGTAGATGTGTTAACCACCCTTCTGCGCTCTTGCACAATGTGGGGGGGGGGGATTACTGAGGCAACGTGCATTATGCAAGTGCATTGTCCGTTTATCTATTTCATTACTTATATTCTCCACAACTCTAATTGTGTTTTGTTTGTTGTATATTATTGCATCAAACTAGGACCCCGCATCTCAAAGAGAGGATTCCTTGGCCATAAAGGTCTGGCCGTTCACCAGCAATGATTCAAACAAGCCTCACTCTATTCTACTTTGTACTTATAAAGTGCCTTTCACCAAGGCGCTTAACAATGCTCGCTGACTACAGCACAAAATGGCAAGATAAGGGATGGGGATCGGGTAGTGACTAGGACGGAGGGAGCGAGGTGGAGGCATCAGAGTTGTTAGGTGGTGCTTGTAGGGGTGGCGGAAGACGAAGGGATAAGGCGAGGTAGAGAAGAGAGATAGGAGGACCTGAGGGCAGTGCAAGAAGAGGAAAGCGAGGAGGGTGGGTGGAGTCAGATGTGGAAAGGGAGTTGATTCCAGTGTAAGGGGGCAAGTGGAGAGAAGGCGCGAAAGCGAGACTGGGCGTAGGGTGGAGAAGGTTACAGCAAGAAGATATTCAGCCTGTGACCGGAGCAGGGCATGATGGGACACATAAGGAAATGAGAGAAGGCAGGTAAGGGAAGGGGGGGGAGGAGGCAGTCCATGCAAAACGTTGAAAAACTAAGGCAAGTAATTTAAAGAGGCAGCGGTGATAGAAAGCCGGTGAAGTTGTTGAAGGAGAGGGGAGCAATGGGTGGTGAGGGGGGAAGTTTAAGACGGTGGGGTGCGTGCAGCCGAGTTTTGAATTTGTTGTAGAGTGGTGAGGGCGTTGGCAGGGAGACCGGCCAGGTGCGAGTTGCAATAATCCAGACGAGTGAAGACTCAGGGGAGGGCACAAGAAGTTTGGCGGCGGTGATGGTGATGAGCAGAAGATGTAAGCGGCAACGTGCGAGTGGCGTTGGCGATGTGGGAAGTGAATGAGGATTCAAAAGGTGACGACAATAATTTGGACGGTAGCGATCGGAGTTGGACTGAGCGGAGGGAAAGATATGGAGCGGTTAGGAGGAGGAAGAGAGTGGGAGAGCGGGAAAGTAGAGCCACGGTCCTTTTGGAAGGGTTAAGGGAGGATAAATGTTGTGTCATCCATGCTTGGATGGCCATTAGGCAGGACGAGATGCGGTCGCAAAGGTCGGGGGTAAGAGCCTTGAAGGAAAAGAAGATTTGAGTGTCGTCGGCAAATGGGTGATACGAGAGATTGAAAGAAGAAAGGACAGGCTCGGGGGGGGGGGGGGACTTCTATAGGGAGAACAGGAGAGGACCCAGCGCAGAACCATGGGGGGGGGGGATGCCAACCGTGACGGGGGTGAGGAAGAGCCACGGCTAAAGGAGACGTTGGACGAAACGAGAAGTGAGTTAAGAGCGGCGTTGGCGTGGCGCCGAATGCCGAAACCGGGCCAGGGTTTGCTCGTGCTCGATCAACCCCGCTGAAGTGATGCACTCCCAAAAGGCTGTGGGGGCCCAGTAGGTTGCGTGAAGTGAATCACGTTCATTTTTGCGCTGCGCTGAGACGGTTGTATAAAGGAGACGAGCTGTGAATAATGCATCTTGTACCTAGCGACTTACCTACCCACCCACCCGACATACCCATCTACCCACTTGTCTATTCATCACAACACCTGCCCATCTTCCCACTGATCTACCTGTGCAAGACAAAGAACCCCCCCCGTCCCCTGTGTAGCCTGTAACAGACTGTAGGGGCAAGTGCTGTCAGCGAGCACCTATGAAAGCCGGCACGGCACACGAGGGGGGTGGGTGGCCAACACCAGGCCCGGCCGCCTTTGTCTACCTAGCGGCGATGTTTATACATCACACCAGGTACTCATTTGAGGCTTGAGTCGACCTAGGGGAGGCCCAGGACCAATTCATATAATCGTCATAGACACGCACAGATAGACAAAGACACACAGGCACACACAGACAGACGCACAGACAGACAAACACACTGACACACACGTACGGAACATACACATACACAGTGACATGTAAAGAAACACACAGACACACGCACAAGTACACACAGACACACAACAACAACCGCCATTCTCCACTAAGTGGCAGTGACGTCACCACGACGCTTGTGCCAGGCCATGTGCACCTTGAGGCCACGTGACGTGTCGAACGCCCGCTGGCAGGAGGTCACGGGGCAGACCCAGGTGCCACGGGTCGACTGACTAAGATGACTGAGATGACTGGCTGATGCACCACCTGTGCCCCCTACTGTGCCAACCTCCTTTGCTATAGCCATCCGGCGCTCCGCTCGTTGTTGTGAGCGTCGCTCCTCCGCCCTCCGTTGTTGTTGGAGGGCGACTGCCTCCAACTGCCCAGTAGCATCCTTCACGAGCCTCCTCCACAGAGGCCGATCTTGACACCGCTATTACCAGTCATCGGCAAGTCCACTCAGCTCCACGTCCTCCTGTACCACATCACTCCATCTCTTCTCTAGCCCGTGCCGCGCCCGTTTGGCTCCCTCGATCCGGCCGAACAAAAGCTGTTTCGGCATGTGGTGGCTGGGCATGCGGGCTACATGACCCAGCCAACGCAGCGTTGCCTGCCGGAGGAGCTCACCGATGGGACCTTGCCCAGATCTTTGAAAGATTTGTGAACTCCTCACACAATCCAGCCTGGTTAAACCCAGGATGGTTCGTAGGCAGGCTAGCCTAAATGTTTCTAACCGGCGAAAATGTTCCATTAGGGGGGTCCACGTTTCGCAAGCGTAGAGAAGGGAGGGAATGACCGTGGCCGAGCGGACCTGAAGCTTAGTGCGGAGCGACAGACCAGGTAGCTTCCACACAGCGTTACGCAACCGATGAAAAGATATTGCCGCTCGACTGATTCGGAGTGAGACCTCTGCTGTTAAACTGGAGCCGGTCATAAGCACACTGCCCAGGTATGGGAAACTCTCCACTCTCTCCACAACTGCCCCATCACCGATTGGGAGTTGTGGGGGTGGAGTGTCCGATGGTACAAAATACCCAGGCAGGTGCTTAGTTTTGGTGGGGCTGATGGTAAGGCCCCACCTCTTAGTGGCACGCTCCAGTCTCAGCAGCAGCGTCTCCAACTCCTCCTCTGAATGAGCAGCTATTACCAAATCATCAGCATACATAACGTGGTTGAGCAATAGGGAGCCATCCCTTGACCGCACCCGGGCATCGATCAGCCTCCCATTATATCTGTACCATATGGAGATTCCCCCGGTACAGCTATTGAAGGCTTCACGAACTACGTGGTCAAAATAGATGTTAAATAATGTGGGAGCCAGAGGACATCCCTGTCGCACTCCAAGGTGTACAGGGAATGGCTCTTACTCCCGGGCCTTCTCACCATCATGAAGTTCCTTAATGATCGTGAGCAGAGGGTCAGTGACTCCAAAAGCATAGACACACACACAAGTACACACACAGACGTACACACAGACACACAGACACACACAGACACACACACAGACGTACACACAGACACATACACAGACACACACACACGGACACACACACAGACACACAGGTACACACACAGACACAGACACACATACAGACGCACACACATACAGAAACACACAGACACACAGACACACAGACACACACACAGACACACACACACACAGACACACACACAGACACACACACACAGGTACACACACACAGACACACGCACAGACACACACACACAGACGTACACACAGACACACACACACAGACACACACACAGACACACAGACACACACACAGGTACACACACAGGTACACACACACAGACACACACACAGACACACACACACAGACACACACACAGACACACACACACAGACACACACACACACAGGTACACACACACAGAAACACACACAGACACACACACACACAGACACACACACAGACACACAGACACACACACAGACACACACACAGACACACACACAGACACACACAC